TGGCAGTGATGGTGCACTTCCATCATCCCTGCATTCCATAATACGGTCATACTATTCCTAACACTCACCCTTGTTCATTCTCCATGAGTTCAAAGCATTTAAAACCATTTATGTTTACTTCTCTCAAAAGCAGTACAAAGGAAGTAAGGATGCCAGCATGAGCAGTCCCAGTTAGCAGATAGATCTTCAATAAGCTTTGATCATGGTCAAAGTGTCTGTTTGAATGTCTGAGGTTCCCTGTTTGGAGGGTGAACTCTAAATGTCCAACTTCACTGTCTCCAGAGAAGCCATATTCCTCCCTCCGAACACCTATGAAAGTATTGGCTTGGTTTTCAGCTGGAAAGGCCCAAAACCACCATTCTCTCAGCTCTTGGAAGGTCCTCCAGCTCTGAGGTCAGACCACAATAAACAGCACTGCTACCTGGAGAGCTTCTGTTGCCATGCACAAAGCCGAATCGAGGGGATGGGTTGCACACTTGGAAGTGTATTGAGTTCTTCAGGATTTATTTGTTCACTCCAGAGGGAAAGTGAGTCATGAGAAACCTTAAGGTGGAGCACTCAAAACAAGGAGTGTATAAATGATTAGCAAGGGAAGGTCAGCACTAGTCCTTCAAGTCTGAACATGTCCCACTGTTGACGGTACATAAATAATTCTAGCTGGATGCCTGTGGTTGTAGCGTGGCTATCACACTGCTAGTCTCTTACACGTCTCTGACTCACATGTTATCATCAATGACGCTGATCTAAGTTTTCTTATAAAAAGGTAGCTAAGGTTAGAGGGGTAACCTGGTAAAATTGGACTCGCTTATTCAAAAGACCCTGCTTCAAGTCACAGCTACATGTTTGCAGAAGCTAAGTTCTTGTTTTGGTTTAAAGAAAAAAAGAAAATGGAAAGCTAAGTGCAAAGATGGAAGATGGACCTGAATTTTACTTGCCTTCATGCAACAATGCAATTAATCATCTCTCAGATAAAATCTGATTGCAGAATCTTTATTAGCACACCGATGTAACCAAAAGAAAGAACACTGCCTGTTTTTTTCAGACTGCAGCCAGAATTTAGAGCATTTGCAGACAGGAAAAAATAAAATTAATCAGTTGACTTCTTTAATGAGTGAGAATGATTTGTGATTGACTCAGATATGAAAAAAAAACACAGAACCTTCTTTTTTTCTAACATAAACTCATCTATAGTATTTTTTTTTCCCAGAAAATACCCTGCAGGGAACACTCAAGTAAACTAAAGGTGTTATCCTTAGATCTGCTCATACTGGTGACATTGCAAGCTCTAGCCTACAACTACAGAGCATAGCTGTCCGAAGAATGTAGCTTTTAGTATTTTCAGCTATATCAATTTATGTTACTTATGAAGGAATCCAGGCCACTGTTGTACTTTATTATCCAGCTAAGACTGCTCTTACACATCTCTGGTGTAAAAACTCTTGTAGAGCTACTGAATACTTTTTGCACTGGCACTAAGCTTCTCTTCAGATAGTCTACTAAATTCCTGTCAAGGACTGAAATGTGTCAGATGAGCCGCCTCACAGGCACTGGGCAAATCCTAGAAGGTACTGAACAACAGAAACTTTTGTGCAGCAAGAATATATATGATGATATACCTTTATCTGGTCTTACGCTAAACCATACATCAGTCATTGCACAGAGATCTGCATCAAATTGCATAGTATCTGGCTGAAAAAGCAATTTTCCAGCATGTTTGCATTTAGAATTCATTCGAGAGCACAATCCTATGCAATCCCGGAGCTATAAGGAACGCTAGGAAAAGCTGTACATAGACATCCACAGATAACATACTCATTGGTCTGCCCTTTTTTAGGGAGCTTCTCCTGTGTGTTTTTGTTTCACCTGTGCTGAATCCAAGACACTTTGAGCACCACATCCAGGAATACATTTGGCTGAAAGACTAGGAGGGACCATCCAAGAATGATGCAGCGATTCCAGAAGGTCTAGTGACACTGGACGGTCACTACACAGATGCTGAGCCAAGGTCATATGTCCTTAGTGAGCAGTGGTGGACAAGGTGGAAGGGTCATCCTGTGCTGGTGCCCTGGAGAGACTAGTGCTGAGCTCTTTCCAAGAAAGGAGTATTGTCAGCGCTTGTCTGCAATGACACCAGAGTGGGTTGCTACAGCTCAACAAAGTTGTCAAGGCCATGTGAGACTCATAGTCACAAATACTAGCTGTCCCTGTTACTCCCATGTCCAAATCCAGACCTAGAGAAACACAAGCTCCAAGCGCCAATGTTTGGGCACCATGTTGCCCCAGCAAGAGAAGAAAAGCCTAAGGGGACCACAGTGACTGCTTGCAGTGGCTCTGCACCCCGGGACAGAGAAAGCCTGACAGAATGGGGCTGTGCTGAGCATGAAAGTGCCTGTGGTTAAAGGGCTCCTGTCCTAGCTAGAACAGGGCAGGTGAAATGGGCTGAAGCCACTACAAAACTGCACGTTTGCTGGCGCTGTCCCTGCCCCTCCTTTACTCTCAGAGGGAGTCAGGCAGGCAAGGTGACTCTTCTGCCCTATGACTCTTTTGGGAGGAGGCAAGAAGGACATAGCCCCTGAGCATTCAGGTAAGGAGGTTATTTGGGTATGTTTTCTTATGCACATGCTTTCCAACCTCAGGACCTCCTGCCTTACCAGCATTTCCTTTTCAGCTTCCACTTTATGTCTGGGGTAACTCTCTGATCCTCTGGCAGTGATGCAGGGCTCGTGATCTACAGACTGTAGAATGAAAACACAATTCATAAGAACTGTACTAAGACTCAAAGAACTGTACTAAGGCAAAAACTGCTTTGCATTTTTTTCTGTTTTACATGCATCTGTAGTTACATGTGTCTTGATTTAACATGATATATTTATGGATGTAGTCCATATGCCCCTATGATTAGAGAATCTTTAAAGTATTTTATAAATAAATAGTGACTGTGTAGCAGAGAAACTCTGAATTGCTTTTACTCCTCAGGATAATGGAGATGCAGGGGATGTACATATCCGTGCATCAGACTTGGAATCCAAGAATTTTCATGCAGAACTTGTTGAGAAGAGAGATGAGTATCTTGCTATGCTAACTTGGTAACTGGATGCTCTCTCCTTGCCTATCAGACAAGTTTAATTAACACATAGTATTGTCTTTTGGAGACTTTTTTTTTTTTTTTTTTTTTTTTTGCTTTCTGATCAAGAAAAATAATAGAAAGATCTTGAAAAAGTAGTAGAAAAGATATCTGAAAAATCCCAATTATTGTACATACAACGAGTGAAGTTGGGAGATAGAATTTGCTTTGTTTGCATACATGGGGAGTGGCAGAAGGAAACAGCACTGCTGAATGGTGACGCTATCATCTTCAAGTTATAAGGCTCTCTTCGAAGCGATTTCCTTTTAAGAAATGCTACATGCTAATTTTTCTCCCAGCACTTTTACACTAAAACAAACATAGCAAGTGCTGTGATCACGGGCACGCAGTTTACTTGTGCAGGAATAAAATAGTGATGTTCAGGCTCTTGTCTGTTTTGCTCTTTGGAAGGTGTTAGAGAGTGCTGCCACTTTCAAAGCCACTGTCAGTGAAATTGGGGCTTCACCCTTTTATGCACAACAAAGGGATGAGAAAAGACAAATTAAAGTTACAGGCGAATCTGTGGTTTGGCAGCTACTTCAGATCATGGAAAAATGTCTTGATCTTCATATTCATTTAAATGAATAAATAAGCAAATTAACTACTAGTGCTATCATTCTCTGTCAGTCTAATCATCGTTCCTATGTGAAGTATATGAATGTCTTCTTACACAGAGCAGAAAAGTGATTTAGTGAAGAGATTAGCGACTACCGGTTGCTTTACAATGAGCTACATTGAAAAGGGATGTTTAAGTGCGTAAGCTCAGAATTGCTCTCCCGTCATTACAGAGGCACACAGCTACAACACTGCTCACCAGGAGCACAAAGCCACCCTCTGAGAAATTCCTAACAAAATCCACGTGTTCCTTTCAAAAGACATGAGGAAAAAGCCCTAAAGCTGACCAAGCTATTTTCTACTGTCTCCTCAGATATTCTCTGGCATCGCTGGGTCTAGGTCAAAAACTACAGATGTCCATCCAAGCCTTCTCATTGACTTCTGTGGAGCTTGGATGGGGCCTGTTGATACCAAACTTCGGTGCTGAGTTTGGTCAGTCATATGACTGTTCAGAAAGAGAATAGTGGCTCCTCAAAAATGCAAAGGAAGAATTCAGAGGAAGACTATCTGGGACAGATTTCAATACATTTGTTAAGATAATTGGCATGGTTTCAATATCAAAATAAAGGAGTGATGTCTCAGCATGATTTCCCAATGTGTTTGATCAGCATCAAGCACAAGAACGGGAGGCTTCAGAGTCACTGATTTTATAATAGCGCTGTGAATGGATTTGATATTTGACCACAATTCTTGCCTTGTCAGTTTTGCTGACATATATAATAAACTTTTTTCCCCTTCTGAGAAAATAGTTAATAGGGTCATACCTCAAAGGTGTAACTTTATGCTTGGATCTGCAGCCCTCTGAGCAACTGTCTGTGCAAATGTCTCAGGCACACATTTTCTGTCATCCTTCACAGCACAGAAAGTGTCACAGTCATTCCCAGGCTTGCTAGTAGAATCTCAAAAAAATACACATCATGCATTTGGGTCCTGATCCAGGACACGTTATACCTAAGCATTTCTCTCGGCAGATCAAGAGCATTTGTTCTGTTCTCTGATTAACTATGTTCACTCCTAAACTGTGCAAAAAACACTTGTGAAGAACAAAGAGGAAAAAGTCAATGAACAGCTCATTTTTTTTTTTCCATTGAGACCTTACACAGATGACAAAACAGCTCATGGCACCCAGGATAACATTAGAAGACAGCTATGCTTAAACGTGGTGAATTTTGGTGAGTTTTGAAACTCAAGTTAAACCAGGAACTAACAGGAATTACAAGAATAGGGTACAGTCTAATAACCACAATAAATAGCTACTGACCTAGTGTAGTGCAGAGGTTTCCATGAAGCCACGGACTTCACAGAGCCTGCTGGGCACATTCCGCGCTGTCTTCTCACGTGAGCAAGCAAGAGCGCTGTTTTGCTTCAGCAGGGAAACTGGAGAACTCCTTTATTCTGGCCTAGAGAGGAAACAGCTTCTGCTGAAAATAAACCATAAAAACACAAGTAACCTGCCTCTCTGTCCCTGTGTGCAAGTCTGCAACCATGAAGAAGGTGCACCACGAGACTCTGCATCTCAGCACGACCAACCAGCCATTTGCAGATATTTGCATCTGCCATCAGGCTTTCACTGCTGCTCATGAAGGGCTACTGCCATTTGAGGAGGAAGAGGAGGATCTCAAAAAAAATCACCTAAAAAAAATCAATAAAAAATAATTAAAAAAAAAAAAAAAAGAGCACAGAGTATTACATTGCTATGGATAACAATTTTCATCACCATCCCTTTACAAGAATGGTTCAGCTGCTCTTCGAGGATATTAGTGTATCTTAGTTTTGCTGCCTGAGAAGACTACAAATATGGATCTGAAAAATAATGAGCTGATTAACACTCGGCTAGCTTTTGAGAAGAGCATACGTATTTTCCCTTTGGGATTTTAATTGCTTGGGTCTGAGCCCCATGTAGCAGGGAAGCTGCCAATGACTGTAAATTCTGTGAATTCTGTGTAAAATTCTGTGAATCTGTGACTGTAACGCAGAGTACAGCGCGACCTTCAGTCACGTAAACCTCTTCACTCAACGAAGTTTTCTGAACTGCCAGTAAATACTTAAGAGAAGTGTAGCTGGATAAACTGAGACTCTGAGAAATAAAATCACTTGAAAGTGTAGCTGCACAATATCAACATCCCATTGCCTTAATAAGTTGACCCAAGTATTACCACAGGCCAGGAACTGCATGGAGGTGCTCATCGCACTGCTGTAATTCCAAGGCCAATATACGTTTGTATGAATATATTGGATGAGTTTTTAATTTAAAGAGCAATAAAGCTTTTACCAGTCAGTCCCAAAATATACGTAACCAGTAAGGCCCCATCCCTACATTCTGATGACTAATCCAAGACGTTTCTTATCCTCATCAGGCTCCTGGTTTGGTTGTTTTCTGTTTTGTAAGCTCAGATCTGCTAAGTAATGTGATAGCACTTTTCCAATCTCAGTATCGCTCGGCACTACAAGCTTCAGTGCCACTTAATACTGTGACGAGAAATAACACATTTACAGCAATGTATATTGCTTGTGTTCTTCTTTGCAACAATGACTCATTATTCAGAGTATGTTTATGTAATATCATAAATACCAATCTCTGGTATTTATGCAGCATAGTATTTACTTGGGCAAGTTGCCACATGCACTAAAGAAGTAAACAAAGAACCATTCTTTGGAGGGTTAAAAAAGTCTTAAAATGAATCCAATTTTCCTTCATAAGGCACTCCTTGTTATTTTACCTAAAGTGGCTCTTTAAGATATACAGTATGATAAAACACACAATTCCTGGGAGACGTAATTATGGTTCCTAAGAGACTGGTGAATAAACAATCAGAAATAGAGTGTTTGTTTTCCCTAGCTTTTTCTTAACTATTAATGAAAGGCATTAAACAAAAATGGTGAGGAATGTGTTGGGTTGATAAATGGCAAAAAAAGTTGAGGTGAGCACTTCGCTGAACACATAGGGTTTCTGCCTAAAAGCAGTGCTATTTTACTGGATTGCCAATAATCCTATTTTGTGAATACATTTGTGGTGGGTGTAAATACCACAGTGAATTCTTTGTGTGTTATATTTACTTTACTGCGTACATCAACGGTACAACGCATATTCCAAAGTAAAGAGCTCACCTTGTCTCACATTACCCTAAGCATTAACACAAATGACTTCCTTCGAATCAAGGTGCCAAAATCTTCTGCATTGTATGAAATGTGCTATCTGGCACACATTCCTGAGGAACTGCAGAAGGACACCATCAATACAGTATAGCATGGAGCAAACACATACACTTTTCCTGCAAATCAAGGACACAGTGAACACTACACACATGTGGGCACTGGAAGCCTAGATCGCCACCAAAGCTAAGTTCAACCACCAGCTAAAGGAAAGCCTTTTGCACCCTGCATATTTGAGAATGCAATAGAGTGGGCTCAGAGACTCAAGTAATTGACTCAGATTGATCTCAAGTGATCAATCACCTAAAACCAACCTACTAAAGGCACCAGTCACTTCTCCACATCAATTATTCCTTCTCTGAATGGGACAGATGAGAAGTGAGCTACTTCAGTAGATGGTGAATCTTTCACTTGCTGTCACCAGTGCCTACTTAAGCAGCGAGGGCCTTGGTAGCACCTTAGTGGGAGCATAGCTTCCCACCATGGTTCCCCAGTGTGTACCAGCACTCACTTGCCACTGCATGGTTTAACCTCAGGAACATAAGGATCAGGTCATCACAGTTCAGCAGATACAAATGGTGACTTCACATTCCTCCTGTGACAAGAAGCTGTCAAAGCAATGTATAAGACTGCCTTAGTTAATAATAATTTACGATATATTAACTTCCTTCAAAAATAAAATACCTAAAGTCATTATAATGTGTATTTTGCACCAGAAGTAATGAAGTATCTGCTGATGTCATGAGAAGCCTGGAGACTACTCAGCTCACGAGTAACAAGTTATCGCCTAACTGATGGGTGGTATTTTGTCTCTGTGTCCTACACATAGAGATTCACAAATGCAGTTAAAAGAAAAGTACATGCGCAGGATGGTCAAGCTAGTACTTGTTCCTGTCTTGAGGATTTATTAGAGAAGTGAATAACCATGCTTGTTGTGGTAATTAACCCCATGTAAATCACAAACCCTGCCTTTATAGGGTTTTGTTTGTGCTGCTGTCATTAAGAGCCATTCAGTGTTTCCAAACTGGAGGGAGGCCTGAGGTGAAACCACAGCAAGGGAAGGGGAGAGATGCCCAGGACGGGGAGAAGGGGCCCCAAGCAGGGGCAGCCCGGCAGCCACGCCAGCCCCCTCACTGCCCTGTCTTCTTCAAGGTCCAGAAAACAGAAAGGCAGCAACAATAAAAACAGGCAAATCCTAGAATCTCCAGGCAGTCTCAGCTCACTAACAAACTTGTTTTAATCTTAATAAAAAAACAACACCCAGGCCTGTTCATGCGAGGCCCGTTCCCCTTGCTGAGCTGCACAGACCCCGGGGCTCGGCTGGCCCTCAGCTGCATGTGGGGCATGTGGGACCAGGACCAGCCTCGATGCTGTGCGGCAGCCTAACGAGGAACTAATTGTGTGTATGACACTGATGCGCAGCTCCTCAGCTTCTGGACAGGCCCTTCCAAAGTCTACTGAAATCAGCAGGAATCTTCTAATTGATTGTCAACAGGCATGGATCAAATTCAGTATTCCTAGAACAGATATGTCGTGGCAGTGCTCATATAGCCCTTGTATCTCACCAGTGCTCCCTTACCTCTTCCTCAGTGTGCAAGAAAGGTGGTTCTTGGGGTCCATCCAGCCTTGTTTCTCTTCTACCGTTTAATGCCATCAGTAACGGAAGCCTATGTCTACTGGGTGATGCTCTCTGCCCAAAGCTCTCCAAGCTAATAGTAGCAGTGTGGTGCCTTCTAAGAAAGTTTGAATTGACACCATAATGCTGACTGAGGGGTTACTTCAGTAACTTCCTAGACCTCTTGCTGACATCTGCTCTATAGAGCATGCAAATGATTACAGTTAAGTAATAGCCACATGGAACATGACAGTTTCCATGCACACACTTGCGATCACTTTGGTAAGGAATGGCTGATCATTCAAAGACGCCTTTTGCTTCAGACACTTCTTACTAGAGCAAATGTAATTAGCTAATACCCAGGGCTGATCGTTCTCTGTAGCTACCCAGTTGGGAGCACACTAGAGAACCCAAAATATAAGCTGCTCATAGATCACCACTGTTTGTGAGACAACTAGACACTTCTCACACGATTAGCCCATCTTCTCTTCTGGCTCCACTGGAGAGAAAACGATCACCCAACAAAGACAGCACAACACAGCAAAATTAAAAACACATTTAGCAATTTGCATACCTTGCATGCCATAGAACACCCCCAAATCCTGGTGGAAATGTGCATAATGTGCCAGACATCTTGAACCCAGGAACTCCCCCCCTCCCCATAATCCCTCGGGACCAAAAAGTTTCTGATTGTACTCCAGCTTCCCCATAAAAGCTTCATTGTTACTGCAGCCCAGCCTTTACCAGGAGTCATGGCATTGGGCCACAGCCTCCAGGGACACTCTCAAGCTGCACAAAACAAGTTTTTCCAAACAGTTTAAGTATTTCCCAGCCCAGACTCTCACATTCTCGTTGTTTGTGCAGGGACAGTAACCCACCAAGCCCTGCCTAAAATACTGGTTGTTTAAACTCCACAGAGACATTTTTACTAACATTCCTTACTGCTGTAACCTCTTGACCATTTAAAACTACTATTAACGGGCAGACTCCATAGGCCTAATGTCAAGGAGTCATCTCTGCTGCAAAAAAAGCAGCAATCAGACAATAGATACATAATTGTTGCTTCCTTTGGACCACTATTTTGGCCAGTATTTTTTTAGTTTAACCGTGCTTTGCAGCAGACCATGAGATATACACAGGACAAACCGAACAGCTCTTAGCTGTGATAAAGGTTCATATTAAAAAATGGAAATTTGTTAAGCGAAAGCTCCAGGGCTCAACAGGACGTGGTGCAGCAGACACTGCAGCAGATGTGTGTCTTGGGTGCCTGGGCCAGGCTACGGGCAATGACAAAGACAAAGGTATAAGCGCAATGCACAGTTCCCTTACTTGGTGCCCTTGAGCACCAAAAGCACAGGAAGGTTTCCAAGTTTCTGAGAGAAGGTGTCTGAGCTCCTGTGCACAGAGTTCACCCTCTTTACTAAGCAGGCAACATCTTGACAGAAAACTGCTTGTTGTACGGGGCTCCCAGTGTTTGCATCAAGGGCACAGGAATCTGCTGGAAGAGGGCAGGAGCTGCAAGAACGTCAGCAGGCCAGTCTGTTGCTGCCATTGCAAGCTCTGAAGGGGTACATTTCTCACTGGTGGTTTGCAAGGGGACGCCACAGTCACATACTTCATGGTAGGTGGCTCATCCTTGCCCATCTTCTCCACCACCCAGAGCGAGAGCCTTCCCCTCCCCAGTAGGTTTTTGCCAGTATCTTAGATATGCTTTATAGGAATACCTACATATCAGGATCTCCTTGTTCACAACAAAGAGCTGACAGCCCAAAATATGCCGCTGTCGGGGATTTGACAAGAGTGGCAATGTCCCACAGAGACAAGCAGCTCCTCCTTGGCTAACTGGTGGCAACGTAGGGCAGCCCACACACCAGCCCTGGCAGTAGCACCGAGCTCTACCCGGCCCGAGAGTGCAGCAGCCCCCAGCCCCACTGGCACTAATTAATGAAGCACCAAACTGCTGGTTATAATTCATGGATTCTGCCCACAATGGAGTTCTTTCTCATCTCTTACGAGACACCCCCGTCCCTGCCCTGCGTAAGGAAGGCAGGAGCAGTTCAGTCACACACGCAGGCTGGAGGGACGCGGCTTGGCTTCGCCGAGTGGCTCACAGCAGAAAAATAATACTGATTTAAGTCACCGCTCAGCGTTATCGAGTGTTTGGTAGATTTTAGTAAGCGGCCCTTCAGAAGGCAGCTTTTAAACAGCTTGCTCTATGAAGATGAGAAAACAAACAGAATTGGAGCTAAAGAGGCAATTTTGGAGTGCTCAGCACTGTGCCAACCTCTGCCAGGGCGTCGAGGCAGGTCCTTAATGAGCTGCCTTGTGCAGGTGAGTGCCAAGTGGGCAAAATCTTTTTACAGGTGTCTAAATACACACTGTTATTTGAGGAAATAAAAGGCTTTAAAATCCACTCATAAATTCAGGCAAAAGGGAGCTATGTTTAAGGGTCCTCAGCCACCAAATCCTTTTTCCCCATGGATTTTCAGAGAATTTTGGACAGGGATCTAGACACTCTAGACAAGGCAGCTGCCCTCCCAGCACACTGCCACTTTGTGAGAGTGGCTGAGTTCTCTCAGTTGGGCAGTTTTGAGGAAAAGAGAAAAAAAAGCAAAAAAAAAAAAAAAAAAAAAAAAAAAAAAAAAAAAAAAAAAAAAAAAAAAAAAAAAAAGGCATATAACGCAGCAACATCTAATACCTTGGTAAGACCCTTTGGCTCAGCTTGGTCCAATTTGCTAACACAAGCACCATAATTACATGACTTGTGCTTATCTCGAGAGCTCCTCGTACATGTTATAGGAGAGGATAATTCATTTGGAATCTATTAGGGAAGCCATAAACTGTCCAGGACCAAGCACTGAGCCTTTCATGCAAGTGGGAAGTGCTCCAAAAATCTTTGGGAAGCTGGTGCAGGCAAACCTGACTGCTGGCGAGGTTCTGCTCCTCCAGCCTGCACCTCACTCTTCAGCCTTACTAGGCTTGCTGGCAAGGAGGAAGAGGAGACTCAGGTAAACCCCCTCGCGAGGTTACTCAATGCCATTACAGCCTGGAGACGTGTCCCCTCTTCCTCGTGTTCCCCCAGCTAGTGGCAGCTTGGCAAGATGGAAGGTGACAATTCGCAAGGGACTTGCCCAATAAGTCAAGCCAGGGAGAGCTCCTCAGGGACAGTCACTTCAGCCTCACCTGAGGGTTTGCCAGCGCAGTGCACAGCACAGGGACAGAGACTAACCTGTGAGTGCAGCTGCTTGCACAAATGTCCTTGCTGGTGTAGTCACCTTGCTCCAGGGTGTGCTGCCTTCCTCCTTCCTGAGCAGTGGCAATGCCCATGACCTGTTAAGTGGAGACTGAGCCCAGCTTTCAGAGTGGGTCCTTTGCCTTGGGTGTGCCCAGTGGAAAGCTGTGTCTTGCATCTCCCATTGCATAGGCTGAGCCTCATAAAAGCTCTTTAGATGTAAGAGTCGTCGACTGGGTAGTGAACTGAGGGAGGGTCTCTGCTGGCCACGTTCTCCATAGGAGCTGATGCCTTGTTCTTGCTTTGTGCTGTTTGCTGAAGTTCTGCACTGATCCTGTCCTTGCTCCAGACACAGCAGTACTCACAGCTTTCAAACACAGACTACAGCTGCTTTAGATGCTTTGAGATAGCAACAAACCAACCCAGAACAGCTGATACAATTAACTGACTGTAAAAGTAAGTTCATGGCATTTTTTTGGCATAGAGATAGGTCTCATGTTAACGTAAGCATATTATCAGAATTCCACTAGATCTACTTCCAAAACTGATTTATACCCAGTATAACAGTACCGTGGAACTGTACCACACAATTACAGCTGAGCAGGCTACGAAGTTAAGTGACATACTGTGCAAAGCCCAGAGGGCTCCGTGCCCAGGAGGCTCATTTTCGAACACACACTGCAATGTCTTCTCTTTGTAATATAGCAAATTCCTGGCCTTAAAGTGGGGCTATTGCGTGGGGGGACTACG